GTGGGTGGATGGGTGAGTGGGTGGGTGGGTGGGTGGATGGGTGAGTGGGTGGATGGGTGGGTGAATGGGTGGGTGGGTGAGTGGGTGAGTGGGTGGATGGGTGAGTGGGTGGGTGGGTGGGTGGGTGGATGGGTGAGTGGGTGGGTGGGTGGGTGAGTGGGTGGGTGGATGGGTGAGTGGGTGGGTGGGTGGGTGGATGGGTGAGTGGGTGGGTGAGTGAGTGAGTGGGTGGGTGGATGGGTGGGTGGGTGGGTGAGTGGGTGGGTGAATGGAAGGATGAGCGAGTGGGTGGATGGCAAGCAGAGAGAAACTGCCACTACTGTTAAGCACCCTCCATCCACTGGGCTTGAAGAAGCCTCCCCTTGGCAAGCTGTCCCTAGCAATGTCTCTTTCTATTTGGACCTGTAGCTGTGTTTGTTCCAGCTGCTGATCAGAGTCTCCTGGGAGCTTTTTAAAAAGACTGATGCTCCTGAGCTCAGAGCCTGCATCCCTAGGGATTCTGATTTAATTAGGCCAGAACGAGGCTTAGGGCTTAGATATTTTATTTCTGCCAGAGATGAGGCCTGAGTCCTTTGAAAACTGGCCAGGATTCCTGTTGTGAGCCTGGTTTTCCTCACGCCATTTTTCAACCCTCTCCACCAGTACGACGGCCATTCATGCTTCACATGCCTGCCCCAAAGGGAGCAGGAGGAGTCAGTGACCCTCCGTGACTGTTCCTTGGCCTAGTGACTAACAAGAGAAAGGTCAAGTGCCCTACACTGACAGCCCATCTCTCCAGCTAATCTCTCCGTGCACTTTGGTTTTGAGTCACGTCTTGGATAATAAATGGCTTGGCCTTTACCTCTTGTAGACTCCCTCTTCTCCGCCCTGCAGGCTGACTTATCTTATGTTCTGCCCACTCTGGTCAACCTGCCTCTTGGTGATCCGGGCCACCTGTCCATCTTGGGAAGCTTGCTGTGTTTGCAGAAGCTCCACGGGCCTGACTCCACCTGATACCCCTGTTGGCATGACTGCAAGCATCACATATTCCTTAGCATGAAGGGTTACACACACACACACACACACACACACACACACACACACACACACTCCTTTTGGTTCAGCAAGACCCATCTGAGTACAGAGGACAGCATTTTCTGTTTTATCCCTGCCGTCTCTGTTACAATTACCCTCTCTCTAAGACTCTCTTCTGCACTCCCTGGGTGAAGAAGTGGGTCATGGGTGCGCTAGGAGCAGAGGTCTACCAGATGGATGCCCTGGAGCAAATTGGCAGCAGAATGAACTAATAATAGGCATGGGGTTGTCTGTTGTCACCAGAGAGGGGATAAAGACTCGCTGCCTCTCCCTGAAGAGAAGTGAGATTGGGACCCTCCTACCCACCTCCCCGCCACAACAGCCTAAACAGAGAGGGGACAGCCTCCTTAGGGCCAAGTGGTGATGGCTGATTCTCAGATGCGGCCAGTCCAACCCCATCAACACCTCCAGCTGCTTCTGCACCTACCATCTTGGTCAGAGCACACACCTCTCCCTGATCCTAGATGAACCCCTCAGCTCCTCCTAAACTTCGGGGAGGACTGGATGGCCCTCATCCCCCGACCCGACAGCAAGGAACCTGGGGTGGATATTTCCTCAGCTTGAACTCACTGACTGACCCCTGGTCCGCACCCTTCTATGGCCCTAGCCCTAGGAGGACACTTGTCACCCAGAGAACCAAAAGTCTATGTAGAATCTCAGACACTTCCCCCTCCTTTCACTCTGTCCCAACAGTCTGCCCCTAACAGTCTGTCTACCCACACTCTCTTTGGGCACCCTGACTTCTAGAATCCTAGCCTGGCTACCACCCTGGTGCCCAGGCTACACCTGTCTCTGCTTTTCCACACTTCCTACAGGAAGCCTTCCCAGAATTCTGAGGCTGGCAGGGAGTCCTTTCTCAGAGTCCCTCTGGGTCCCAGACTGATGGCTCTCTCAGCTCTGACCACACGGTGACAAAAAAAAACTTTTTGTAAGTCTAAAGTCCCCAAGCTCCACGACCTACACAGGTGGGATTTTTTTTTTTGATGGTAGCAATTTCTTGTAAGACAAAATCTTACTCTATAGCCCAGGCTAGCCTCAAACATATAGCAATCCTCCTGCTTCAGCCTCCCAAGTGCTCAGATTACACACAGGAATAATCACAGGTGTTTGTAGCTGCTAGCTCATTGTCTATGGCAGAGACACACGACTGGCCCTCACACAGCTGAGACTGAACTAGGAAACGGAAGAACTTCCTCACTGGGCTTTAGACAGATTTAGAGTCTTGTCTCCAGCCACCCATCCTTCCTTATCTGCTGTCCTATTATTCTTGGGGTGCAACTTTAGGGACCCCTAGTGTGCTGCTATGAGTCTTACTTCCCAGTACGCAGCTCTTAACTGGATAGGAGTGTGGTAACAGTGGGCTAGGCCGCTCCTCCTTATACAAAGGATACACTCCTGCCGGGAGTTGGTGGCTCATGCCTTTAATCCCAGAGGAGGCAGAGGCAGGCGGATCTCTGTGAGTTCGAGACCAGCCTGGTCTACAAGAGCTAGTTCCAGGACAGGCTCCAAAACATCAGAAAAACCCTGTCTCGAAAAAAAATAAATAAATAAAAAATAAATAAATAAAAAAACAAAGGATACACTCCTGCTACCCAGGGCCTGGGAGACCCCCAGAAGCAGATACTCCCAACCTCCAAGTGTCACAGATGGCCTTGGGCAGAGTAAGTCCCAAAATTCTAGGCAAGTTAGGCTTTCATGCCCAGCTCTGGTAAAATAGACCAAGGTGACTAGGGAGACAGAGGGGCCACTTTTAGGGCAGGGGTGATGTCCAGGCCCGACAAGGCCTGCACAGCCCTGTAGCCTCCTACTCCTCCCTCTCCCCTTCCTCTGGGCTCAATCACTGGATTCCTGGTGGCCTTAGTTTACACCTGAGGTCCCAGGAGTGTCAGAAAATAGTGACACAAAGAAAAAACATTTCAGATGAAGAAGTGCACCAAGAGATGAGCAGCGAGAGAGAATGACTCCAGTCAAGGAGACCGATAATCCCAGCTTTCTCAGGACTGTTCTGATTTCAGTTCTAGAAATCCTAGCCCTAAGGATCCACCTGAGCCCCAGGCAACCTGCATAAATCGCACCCGAAGAGCAGAGAGGGTGAGGTACTGGGTAGGGGCCTGTGAGCCTCCTTCATTGAAGGCCCAGGACAGCATGCTGGCTTCTTACTTCTTCCAGAACCTCAAAATGCCTTACCTCATTCCCAAACCTGTACCAATGTGCTACAGACAGTCCAGGCTGCCAGAGAGAGGCTAGGACCCTGTCCCTTTCAATCACCTGTGGTCCCCATGTGTCCCTACCCAATTGCCTTACCTGTCTGGAAGAGGCAGCCGCCACCTGGGAGATCTTAGGAAGTTGTGGCAAGCTGGCTACAGGAGAGCAACCTTTGTCCTTACCCCCCCTCCCAGGAACTTCCTTCACCATATAAGGGAAGATAGGGCCCCAGAGAGAGAGAGAGAGAATAGATGAGGGGGTGGGGTAGTAAGTGCCCAGGTCCCTGGGAACCTAGATGCCAACAACAACCTGACGGTCAGAGCTGGTGCGTGCCCCACCCTTGGCTCCAGAGCTGCAGGGATGGGGCTCACTTCCGCTCAGGACCTGGGCACTCCCTGTAGATGGACAACCCCTATCAGGGCAGGCTACAGGTGTCTGGACCTTTCTTTCTTCCCACCAGGAAGGGAACTCAGTTGTCTACTCTCCTGCCCTACAGGAAAGGCTGGTGGTGGGGGGCGGGGGGACACTATGACGCACAGACTCCTGGGGCCTTGCAGCTGGGACTTCAGCACACAGGCCAGGGTCCCCTTGGGGACAGGTTGGGCCCCTGGCACCCCTAACAGGCCTCGTCTACTCAGCATGACCCTCGCTCAGTGGGCACAAGGACCCTTCCAGTCCTCCCCCTCTGCGAGCCACAGACTCCACCTGGAGGTTTTATGAGTTACCATAAACCATGCCTTTGAACCCTGCTCCACTGTCTTCTCCCAAGAGCCAAGGGCCTCCACCTCCCTGCCCTGGACCTGGGGATCTGCCTCCCTGCCCTCTCACTTGGCCAGCTTCGAGGATGAACTGGAAATGGTGGCTTCGTTCCTGCTGCCTGTAGAACTTCTGTTACCTTGGAATCTTGGTCCTTTGGGAGGGCAAGATGAAGAGTGTGGGACGAGTGTGTGTGTGTGTGTGTGTGTGTGTGTGTGCGCGCGCGCGCGCGCGCGCACCCGCGCATGAGGGCCCATGCACAGTCAGTGAAGAAAGTAAACACACAGCAGGTGCTGTTTTGTTTTGAAATAATGTAGTGTCCTTTGTTGTGAACGGAAAGGATGTGTGATCACTCAGTTATAAGCAAAACGGAAAGGAAAACTCCAGGATGGCTATTTCCCCATGAGTCAGTGCGCATAGTCTATCCTGAAGTATCTCAGACCCTTTTCCAGTGTGTGTGTGTGTGTGTGTGTGTGTGTGTGTGTGTGTGTGTGTGTACTTTTTACCCATACATACACATTTTAGGTTCCTTGATTTATTTTTATGTGTATGGGAGTTTTGCCTGAGTTTTTATGTGTATGGGTGTTTTGTCTATGTATGTGTGAGGTGCCTGTGGAGGCCTAAAGAGGGTGTGGAATTCTCTGGAACTGGAGTTAGGGGTGCTTGTTAGCTACTATACGGGTGCTGGGATGGGAACCTGGATCCTCTGTAACAGCAGCAGTGCTTTTGGCAGCTGAGTCCTTTCTTCAGTCCCACACACAGCTTTTAAAGCAATTAATTAGTTATTATTATTCCCATCATAATTATTATTTTGTATGTGGAAGTCAGAGAACAACTTTCGGGGCTGGGTTCTCTCTTTCCATTAAGGGTTCCAGGACCAGATATCAGGTTCAAGCTGTGTGGTGTCTTTACCCACTGAGCCATCTTTACTGCCCACAAACATTTGTCACCATCTTCATTTCCAGTCTCCCCACAGTGTATCCCAATGACAGCAAAGCTCCTGTTAGCAAATAGCTCAGGACAGGGTCTCCAGACTCTCTCCAGATGTTCTCATTGCTAAACATCTGCCTGCTGACTACATCCACTCTCACTGCGGGTGTGGGCTCAGTGATACAGCACACTCCTACTGTGGGCCCGGGTTCAGTTCTCATATTACACCAAGAAAGCGGAGAATTTCTAAAAGCACCGGTTGTGGTGGCCCGTGCCAGTAGGGTTTGCTGGAGGAGGTGGAGGCAGGAGAATCACCAAGTCAAGGCCTGCCTGGGCAGGGTGGTGGTGGTACACACACTCCACCACAGACACAAACAGATCTCTGTGAGTTCGAGGCCAGCCTGGTCTACAGAGAGAGTTTCAGGACAGCCAGGGTACACATAGAAACCCTGTCTTGAAGAATCAAACCAACCAACCAAACAAAACACCCCAAAATAATCACTGGGCCGTGCTCTACAGCTCAGCTGGCCTGCAATTTCTAATCCCTACATCCTCTTGGGTACCAGAGATATAGGCGTGTGCAACTAGATCTAAAGAGAGAATACATGTGTTGTTTTTTGGGGGGTTGTTTGTTTGTTTGTTTTTGCTTGTTGCTTTGTTGGGTTTTTTTGGGGGGGTTGTTTTGTTTTGGGTTTTGGTTTTTCAACATAGGGTTTCCTCTGTGTAACAGCCCTAGCTGTCCTGGAACTAGCTCTTGCAGACCATGCTGGCTTTGAACTCACAGAGATCGGCCTACCTCTGCCTGTCAAGTGCTGGGATTAAAGGCGTATGCCACCACCACCGGGAAAATACGTGCTTTTTAAAATTGTTTTATGCCTGGAGAAATGGCCCAGTGGTTAAAAACATTGACTGCTCTTGCAGAGGACTCTGACGGGATTCCCAGCGCACACAGAACGGCTCACAAACCTTTGTGATGTCAGTTGCAGAGGAACTGATGCCCTCTTCTGACTTATGGCCACATACATGATGCACATACATACATGCAGACAATAAATATCTGTCTCATACACACAAAATAAATATCTCCAAAACAAACTGTTTCAAAGCGTTGAAGATGTAACTCAGTGATTAACTATGGGCTTGAAATACAAAAAGCCTTGAACGCAATGTCCGGCCTCCAGATAAATACACGAATTTCTAATTTCTTGTTATGATAAACGTCAACCATATAGAAAAGCAGAAACAAGTGTGACAGCCACCTGTGGATTAAGGAGCTGGCATATTTGCCATGTGTTTATGATGTGTATAAACATATGTTTGAAAGGAAGTCTCATGGAATACTATTCCTTCGCAGCCAGGGTCTATCCTTTTCTGCTCTGTAGCTCGGATACGATCTTCATATCCGAATGTGCCAGTATTTACTACACCACCCGCTCTCCAGTCCACAGTCCACCGGTTATCTCCACCCTGACCTTATCAGCCTTTGTGTGTGGAGTCAGATCAGGAACAAGGATTTCCTTCAGCTGTCACGTCTTCTCAGCATTTTTTAATCGAGAAAACTCCCTCCCCTTTCCCCATGACCTCAGACAAGAGAACCATCTTACAGGGTGTTTGCCTTATGGTTAAGCCCCAGTTTTCCTTTATGCTATTATTTATTCACTCCTTAAAAACAATAATAACAAAAACCCAAACACACAAGGTCTCGTGTAACCCAAGCTGGCCTCAAACTTGCTTTGTAAAACCAAGGATGACCTGGAACTTCTGATCCTCCGGCCTCCACCTCCCCAGTGCTGGGATCATGGGAATGTGCCACACCTTTTTCTTTTTTTTTTTAAGGAGGTGCTGGGATTGAACTTGAGGCTCTGTGCATGCCAGGCAAGCACTATATTAACTGAGGTACCTCCCCAAGCCCTGCGATGCTTTTTTTCCTAGGGTCAAAATTCAGATTTATTTATTATTTTATAGAGACAGAAACTCACCCAGTAGCTGCACTGACTTTGGACCCATAATCCTCATGTGTCAGCCACAAAACATGTGCCAGCTTGCTTTTAAAAAAATGTTATGTCCTTATATTGAATGTGATGGTGCATGCTGGTATCCTTAGCACTTTGGAGGTAGAAGCAGAAAAATCAGAAGTTTAGACCATCCTTAGCTGCACAGTGAGTTCAAGGCCAGCTTGGGCTATAAGAGATCCTGTCAAAACAAACAAAACATTGAGTTTTAGGCATTATATTATTATTATTTTGTTGTTATTCTCCTGCCATTTCTTAAAGCCTAAAGTAGATTCCAATTAAACACTTTCTTCAGAAATACTTGATAGGCCAGCTTTCTCAAAGAAAATCTACCATTAAGTATCATTGGGGAATCTTCCTAAGGCAAGATAACAATCTGCAGGTCAGGGGTGGGGCCAGAGGTTCCTTGGAGTTGCTGATACTGCTGGTCCTTGAATGAGGTCATTCTTTCAGCACAAGGTCAAAGGTCACCACACTGAACTACCTCAGAGGTCACCAGTGTCAAGTTATTCCAGCGTAAGTGTGTAAAGTCTGACGCCTCGCTTACAGCAGCAGGTCCCACTTTCTAGTAGGATTCGTCCGGGTCCACAGTGTGTGCCTGTGCTCCCAGCCACTTAAACAGCAGCAGAAGCAGGGGAATTGTTGGAGCCCTAGAGTTCAAGGCCAGCCTGGGTAACGCCGGAGACCTCATCTCAAAAAACAAAGAAATGATAGATCCACCACCACAACAAAAAGAGACAGTTACGATAGGTTGACACCAGCACACAAAGCCTTTGATTTCTCACTTCCTACTTCTTTAGCAGTTGTCATTTTGTTCTTAATTTTAATTAATTAATTAATTTTAAATTGCAGGGCTGGTGATTAAATGTGCTTTGTGCACAGTTGGCAGACGCTGAACTAACCCCTCTCTCAGATCTGTTCTTTCTTTTCTTCCTCCCTCCCTCCCTTCTCGTTTGCTAAATGTAAAAAAAAAAAAAAAATGTATTTATTTCCTGGGGAAGGGGAGTTAAGGAAGCATGATGTATGACGTATGATGTTCCAGCTTGTAAATTCCTGTCTTAAGCTGGGCAATGGTAGCACATGCACCATTTAGTCCCATCACTCGGGAGGCAGAGGCAGGCAGGTTTGATCCCTACACTCACAGGGCAGCTCAAAACTATCTGTAACTCCAATTCTAGGGGCTCCAATACCCTCTTCTCTCCTCTACAGACACAGCACACATGTGATACACATGCATGTAGAGAAAACATTCATATATACATAAAATTATTTAATAAATAAAGTTTAGAAGAAGTCCATGGTCACTTTGGCTACGTAGTGAATATGAAGCCAGTCAAGACTACACATAGTGTGAGACCCAATCTCTCTCTCTCTTTTTTTTTTTAAGATTTATTTATTTATTTTTGTATACGGTGTTCTGTCTGCATGTGTGCCTACAGACCAGAAGAGGGCACCAGACTTCATT